TCCAAACTACGAATTCTCTGCATTATATTCACGCCACACATTGCTCTCAGACATGACATCTCCACTGCCTCCAGCCTTCTCCTCGCTGCAACATTCATCACCCATGCTTCACACCCATATAAGAGCATTGGTAAAACTATACTCTCATACATTCCCCTCTTTGCCTCCAAGGACAAAGTTCTTTGTCTCCACAGACTCCTAAGTGCACCACTCACTCTTTTCCCCTCATCAGTTCTATGATTCACCTCATCTTTCATAGACCCATCCGCTGACATGTCCACTCCCAAATATCTGAATACGTTCACCTCCTCCATACTCTCTCCCTCCAATCTGATATCCAATCTTTCATCACCTAATCTTTTTGTTATCCTCATAACCTTACTCTTTCCTGTATTCACCTTTAATTTTCTTCTTTTGCACACCCTACCAAATTCATCCACCAATCTCTGCAACTTCTCTTCAGAATCTCCCAAGAGCACAGTATCATCAGCAGAGCAGCTGTGACAACTCCCACTTTGTGTGTGATTCTTTATCTTTTAACTCCATGCCTCTTGCCAAGACCCTCGCATTTACTTCTCTTACAACCCCATCTATAAATATATTAAACAACCACGGTGACATCACACATCCTTGTCTAAGGCCTACTTTTACTGGGAAATAATTTCCCTCTTTCCTACATACTCTAACTTGAGCCTCACTATCCTCGTAAAAACTCTTCACTGCTTTCAGTAACCTACCTCCTACACCATACACTTGCAACATCTGCCACATTACCCCCCTATCCACCCTATCATACGCCTTTTCCAAATCCATAAATGCCACAAAGACCTCTTTAGCCTTATCTAAATACTGTTCACTTGTATGTTTCACTGTAAAGACCTGGTCCCCACACCCCCTACCTTTCCTAAAGCCTCCTTGTTCATCTGCTATCCTATTCTCCGTCTTACTCTTAATTCTTTCAATAATAACTCTACCATACACTTTACCAGGTATACTCAGCAGACTTATCCCCCTATAATTTTTGCACTCTCTTTAGAATTAGTTATCAACATCATAATGTTAGTGATGGTGAATCATTGAAGAGGAGGAGTAGAAGATCTATGCAGCTCAGTAAAATGGGAAAGTTGCATGATGGGTCCTACACAGATGACAGCAAGGAAATGAGTGAGCTACTCAAGTCCCAATATGACTCAGTTTTTAGCAAGCCGCTAACCAGACTGAGAGTCGAAGATCAAAATTCAATTTAAACCAGCAAATAATAGAGCCTACTAGACTGGAGAATACACTAGACCTCATCTTCACTAACAATGATGATCTGATAAGAAATGTCACCATATCAAAAACAATATACTCAAATCACAAAATAATTGAGGTTCAGACATGTATGCGCGGAGCCCCAGACTGACATAATGAGATTAGTCACGAGGGAGCATTCACCAAATTCAACTAAAATAACAAAAACATAAAGTGGGACCAAGTAAACCAAGTCCTAACCGATATAAGCTGGGAAGATATACTAAGCAACACAGAACACAGACCCCAACTTATGCCTAGAACAGATTAACTTGGTGGCACTCGATGTATGCACAAGGCTTATTCCTCTAAGAAAAAGGAGGAGTAGATGTAAAATAGAAAGAGACAGGCGCTCCCTTTACAGGCGACGGAAAAGAATAACAGAGCGGCTAAAAGAGGTCAATATATCTGAAATGCGTAGGGAGACACTGGTCAGAGAAATAGCAAGCATCGAACTTAAGCTAAAGGAATCTTATAGGAGTCAGGAATCGTGGGAAGAACTAAAAGCCATAAATGAAATCGAAAGAAACCCAAAGTATTTCTTCTCCTATGCCAAATCAAAGTCGAGAACAACGTCCAGTATTGGGCCCCTACTTAAACAAGATGGGTCCTACACAGATGACAGCAAGGAAATGAGTGAGCTACTCAGGTCCCAATATGACTCAGTTTTTAGCAAGCCGCTAACCAGACTGAGAGTCGAAGATCAAAATGAATTTTTTATGAGAGAGCCACAGAATTTGGTTAACACAAGCCTATCCGATGTTATCCTGACGCCAAATGACTTCGAACAGGCGATAAATGACATGCCCATGCACTCTGCCCCAGGGCCAGACTCATGGAACTCCGTGTTCATCAAGAACTGCAAGAAGCCCCTATCACGAGCCTTTTCCATCCTATGGAGAGGGAGCATGGACACGGGGGTCATCCCACAGTTACTAAAAGCAACAGACATAGCCCCACTCCACAAAGGGGGCAGTAAAGCAACAGCAAAGAACTACAGACCGATAGCACTAACATCCCATATCATAAAAATCTTTGAAAGGGTCCTAAGAAGCAAGATCACCACCCATCTAGAAACCCATCAGTTACACAACCCAGGGCAACATGGGTTTAGAACAGGTCGCTCCTGTCTGTCTCAACTATTGGATCACTACAACAAAGTCCTAAATGCACTAGAAGATAAAAAGAATGCAGATGTAATATATACAGACTTTGCAAAAGCCTTCGACAAGTGTGACCATGACGTAATAGCGCACAAAATGCGTGCTAAAGGAATAACAGGAAAAGTCGGTCGATGGATCTATAATTTCCTCACTAACAGAACACAGAGAGTAGTCGTCAACAGAGTAAAGTCCGAGGCAGCTACGGTGAAAAGCTCTGTTCCACAAGGCACAGTACTCGCTCCCATCTTGTTCCTCATCCTCATATCCGACATAGACAAGGATGTCAGCCACAGCACCGTGTCTTCCTTTGCAGATGACACCCGAATCTGCATGACAGTGTCTTCCATTGCAGACACTGCAAGGCTCCAGGCGGACATCAACCGAATCTTTCAGTGGGCTGCAGAAAACAATATGAAGTTCAACGATGAGAAATTTCAATTACTCAGATATGGTAAACACGAGGAAATTAAATCATCAGAGTACAAAACAAATTCTGGCCACAAAATAGAGCGAAACACCAACGTCAAAGACCTGGGAGTGAGCATGTTGGAGGATCTCACCTTCAAGGACCATAACATTGTATCAATCGCATCTGCTAGCAAAATGACAGGATGGATAATGAGAACCTTCAAAACTAGGGAGGCCAAGCACATGATGACACTCTTCAGGTCACTTGTTCTATCTAGGCTGGAATATTGCTGCACACTAACAGCACCTTTCAAGGCAGGTGAAATTCCTGACCTAGAAAATGTACAGAGAACCTTCACGGCGCGCATAACAGAGATAAAACACCTCAATTACTGGGAGCGCTTGAGGTTCCTGAACCTGTATTCCCTGGAACACAGGCGGGAGAGATGCATGATTATATACACCTGGAAAATCCTAGAGGGACTAGTACCGAACTTGCACACGAAAATCACTCACTACGAAAGCAAAAGACTTGGCAGACGATGCATCATCCCCCCAATGAAGAGCAGGGGTGTCACTAGCACGTTAAGAGACCATACAATAAGTGTCAGGGGCCCGAGACTGTTCAACTGCCTCCCAGCATACATAAGGGGGATTACCAACAGACCCCTGGCAGTCTTCAAGCTGGCACTGGACAAGCACGTAAAGTCGGTTCCTGACCAGCCGGGCTGTGGCTCGTACGTTGGTTTGCGTGCAGCCAGCAGCAACAGCCTGGTTGATCAGGCTCTGATCCACCAGGAGGCCTGGTCACAGACCGGGCCGCGGGGGCGTTGACCCCCGGAACTCTCTCCAGGTAAACTCCAGGTAAATAACCAGGAAGGCTAAAAATTATTTTGAAAATGTGTATGAATTGACTGGTAAGCATTCAAAGGAAGATAAGGTTGGTTCATGAGGAGTCAAAGCCTTAATTTGAAGTGGAATTCTTTAATCAGTGTAAAGAAGTAAGACCAGTCAAAATGTGAAGAAAGTTTTACAGCATTGTTCTACAGTGTCAGTTTAAAAAAAATTCTGTTATTCATTTTTTCATATAGAGGAGCTCCCCAACGTATTTTAGGATCTAATTACAGTTTTACAGCCACTAAGCTGCAATACATACTATTGTTTTTTGTACAAATAAATTGATTCCTAGTTGAAAAACTGGGACTGCAACTCATCATTAAGGCATGGAGGGTGCCAGATAAGACATTTTATTCACATGTGTGATTTTTAATGTCGGATATGATACAGTATTAAATGGAGTGCATAGCTATGGGCTTTCTGCATGCACAACTATGTCACTGATCTTTGCATAAACATTGCATATCATGATTAAATAAAATTTTTATTATTATTCTTACTGGACAGTAGTAAAGTACTGTACTGTAAATGTTGGTTAAAAAAAAAAGGGCAGCAATGCAATTTTGGTAAATATTGATGTTTTTAAATCTATATTTTTGGTTACCGTTGTAGTATGTATTTGATAGTCCTAAAACTGAAGAGCTACTTTTTTTATTCCCTTTCTCTAAACCTTTGTTGTTTTAGTTTACAGTATAATTTGAGGGGTAAATTATTTGGAGCAGAAAACCTAATGTCAGATATATTGTCTTAATTGCAATATTTTTCTCAGTTAATATTGTAAGGGGTGTGTAGAAAGTGAGATTAATGTTAATACAGTATTATCAGTTAGAGAGAGGCAGTACCACAAGTTTATCTAAGAATTTTATATCTAATCACAAAGTCAGATAATTCATGAGCATCATCTTGTAATCAAGTGATGTATTAGTCTGAGAGAGATAGCCACTGGACCAGTGTCTTGTTGCTGTGGAATATCTAAAAATACGAACATTTGGGTTAAAAGCATCTGCACTTACAAACAAGGTTCCTAAGATATAAGAGTATTTAAAATGTGCTATTATGAGCATATATGACCCATAACCATTTATTGTATTGCTGCTGATTTCTATAGGAAAATAGGTTATAAGTTTCATACCTTTTGTTTGAAAATAGGTACACTGATTGGAACATACTGTACATTCCTGCATTCACAATAGCCATAAATTAGCAGCAGTTTGAATTTTGACCAATTTTACCTTGCAGGGGCAGGTCTGCCAACAGTAACAATGAATGCAGAGGTCAATGGCAGTGGGACATCTCATCCTGGCATCAATCTCCCACTTCTGATTGACAAGTTTACAGCTGATGCTTCAACAGGCAGTCAGAAAGTCGAGGAAGTTTCGGTAACCAGCCAGAAACATGAGCTTTCTGCAAAGTTTCAAAAAATTGAAGATATTGTACCAAGTAGTAAGACTGTGTTGGACATCACCTCAAACAGTCAGAAAGATATAGATATTTCTTTAAATAATAAAAATAAAGATATTTTTGCAGACCCTCAGAAAATTGAAGTCTTATTGTGTGATAGAGAGAGCCAGACCGAACTCATTGGAAGTAAATTTAAAGAAATTGTTGAGCAGGAAGGAAAAAAGGAAAAAACTAAATTAGAGGCAAATGAAGACTCAAAGTTTAAAGATAAGTTGACAGAAGAGGAGGAGGAAAATCTGAAGAAATACAACAGGAGGATTCCAGAAGAACGGTCTACCTTACAGAAGGATAAGATAGAGGAGCATTTTGACAAGTATGTAGAGTATTTTTTGTGTGTGTTTGTGTTAGAAGTTAAGCTTCATTAATTTTGTATTTCTTTGTAAATTTGTATTACAGTAAACCCTCCATATAACATGGAGGGTTTACAGTAATACAAAAACTCCAGGATCACTCGATTTGGAAATAGTTGACAGTCTGTTGGCTACAGAATTGTCGCCTATTGTTAGTCACGACAAAAGTCTCTCTTCTCTATCCACCACAACTGCCATTACTGGCCATGCGCTTTCCCCAATTAGTCCATTATATGAAGGGTTTACTGTAATTAAGTAGAATTATTAAATATCTTTTTAAGGTTTGCACTGTATGTTGCACTGCCCTGTATATAGTGAAGTTAGATTTGTAAATACAATATATACAGTACAGTGGTACCCCGAGTTTCAACCATAATTCGTTCCAGAAGGCTGTTCGAGTGCCGTTACTGAATGAATTTGTTCCCATAAGGAATAATATAAATTAGATTAGCCCATTTCAGACCCCCAAAAATACACTTACAATAATACACTTGTAATAAAGTTGGTAGAATTACCGACAATATGTAAAGTAAAAGGACACAAGTGCAACTAATGTGACATTTTATTGTGGCAACGTTTCGCTCTCCAGGAGCTTTGTCTAGCCGTTTGTAACGGCTTGACAAAGCTCCTGGAGAGCGAAACGTTGCCACAATAAAATGTCACATTAGTTGCACTTGTGTCCTTTTACTTTACAATAATACACTTACATAATTGTTCGAGTTGGGAGCTGTACAAAACTCGGGGTACCACTGTATAAGCTTTTCTTCGAGTACATATTATTAAAACATTCTGAAACTGTCCTGTTTTCTTCTTTGTTATATTGAATGTGTCAAATTTTAATACTAGCCACCATATTTTACATTTTATCCAGTTCAGAATTCATTTTGGTTCTTTTAAGCTAAATTTGATATGCTGATCACAAATCTGAGCTTTATTCTCTATCATGTAAGGTTTTTCAAAATCTTATGATCAATATTTTGGCTATTTAAGGTTAAAGAATTGCATGATATAGTATGTAACCTGACAATCATAGGTATTATACTATGCATAGATATTGGTGCATGCAATGATAGAAACTGACCTTTCTTAATGTAAATTCATTTTATATATATGCATAACAAAAATAACCAATTTTTATAGTCATACAAGCATATTTTCATCATGGGTTTCAGGCTTTTTTTTTTGCTTGTGGTTAGTATGTATCTCCTGCACCAGTGTCTAGCAACAGTCGGCCATCAAACTGATCATCAGGTTTCCCTAATATCTCTTCTTCATAATGGCTATGTCTTGATGAAATCATTCACCATGTGGTTCAATTTCAGAAACTGTATGTGTTAAAGCAAAACTAAGTTCGGATTTGAATTCAGCATTCACAAACTGTGGCAAGCTGCCGGCACCAAAATTAGTTAGAAACTCGTGTTGTTGAACGTGAACTGAAGCCATTGTTGGCCAGTGTAATTATCCTGCTCATGATTTCACAGCCAGTGGAGGTGTCTTGTTTGAGAGCTATGTGTGGTATGAACATTATGTAGAGGAGATTCGGAACGAAAATACTAAGAGACGGTTTGGGGTCGCCAAGTGTATAATTCAGATAGCTGAGGTTTGGGCATTTAGAGACAGAGAATGATAGGATGATGAAGAAAGTGCATAAATCTAGGGTGGAATGTAGGAGAGGTAGGGGTCATCCCAGGAGTGGTAAGAGGGAGTAAATCAGGCTTTGTGTTTGAGGGCCTGAACATCCAGCAGGTTTACATGTATGTACTTGTTGGATAAAAGCAAATCGAGCAAAGTGGTTTTTAATTTACATGTAGGTGTGAGAGCAAGGTAACATAATATACTGTAGATTTACGTTTACATCATATATGGTATGCTGTGCTTGAAACATTGTAAATAAATTATGATAAAGGTACAAATATCATAATTATGATTAAGGTATAAATATCATGGATTTATATTTGACAATCCTTTGCATTGATTATTTAACAGGTTGCCCTGGGTGTTTGGAGCACTAGGTCGTGTTCTTAATTTGGGTATTACCTATGGACCGCAGTTTGCTCCTCTCAACATTCCCCTCAATCGGAGGTTGCAGACATTTGCTGTTCTCTTTTGGATGTCAACATTCCTCTTCATGGGGGCCGGTTCCCTGTTCTTTCTTTTATACCTCTTCTTCTATACCAAATATTGGTAAGTAATGATAATGTTTCTTCCAGCTTGTATGTTGAAATTTTTTAATTTCAATTCTGCTTTTCAGTAGTAAAATGTAAATATGTAATAGAAATGTTGTAGTGGCAATTTAATATCACTTGAGGCAAATATGTGTAACATGCATGGGCAGAGCTACAGTATTTCCACTTCACAGTAATGTGATCTGTATTATAGTACAATATATTTACTGCTATTAATTACTCCAACTAGCACTCTTAATAATTCTGATAATGCTTCAGTACTTCAGAAAATAGCAGTTAGTTATCCTTTGTGTATTTGATACATTCCTCAAAAAAGTGTCACTTAGACTCTGCACTAAATTAAACCCTCCTATAGTCTTCCATCTTATAATCAGATTCATTCAGGAATGAAAATTCCAGTACAGGGCATTCAATTTACAAACCAGTTGCATTACCAAGGTTTCAATTTGTTTTGTTTAAAATGGTATTACAAAGGTTGGTTATGTTTCACACAGGTTAATATTGCATATTGCCAGTCATAAACAATAAATTGGCTCATAAGTGTAGATGTTTGCAACTGAAGTCTTCTGTATACAGTGAAACCATAATCAAAAGGGTTACATTCCTGAAAACCCTGGCACCATGAATGAATCTGCAATAGGTATTATAATTTTTTTTAAATTAGAGGGTGGGTACAGATGCACCTGTAAAGAGTGAAAGTAATGCAAGGGATGACAGAGATGAAAGTTAAAAGAAACAACACTGAAATCAAAATAATCATCCAAAAAATTATTATTTGTATCTGACTTATTAGAGGTGGTTGCCAGGGTAGTGTTGGAGGTAGTGGATATTTTGGATGAGGATTGTAGGAATGCAAGTAGAAATGCAGCTTTCACTTCTTGAATTTTAGGTTCATGTCAAATTTTAATATTTATGCTTAGTTACCTTCCTTCTTGTGATTCTTTAATGGAAATGTCATGAACTAAATCACTATAAACATTACAGGTGGGTTACTCTCTGCTACTTAACATGGTTTATTGGAGATCGCACCATTTGCAACAGGGGTGGCAGGAGGTGAGTGTTGAAACGTTATTTGGCCAGAGATCTACTAGTATGCATTACAGAATAAAGGAGAATTAGTGTACCTTGTCTGTGTTGAGAGGAAGCTTCATTAAGTTAAATACAGTTCTAATATCTCCATGGGGAAGTGGAACAGAATTCTTCCTCCATAAGCCATGCGTGTCATAAGAGGCAGCTAAAATGCCGGGAGCAAGGGGCCAGTAACCCCTTCTTTATATATTACTAAACTGAAAAAGAGAAACTTTCATTTTTCTTTTTGGGCCACCCTGCCTTGGTGGGATACAGCCAGTTTGTTGAAAGAAGAAGAATTTTAATATTTCTTAGATACTTAATAAAATATATTTTTATTTATTATCACACTGGCCGATTCCCACCAAGGCAGGATGGCCCGAAAAAGAAAAACTTTCACCATCATTCACTCCATTACTGTCTTGCCAGAAGGGTGCTTTACACTACAGTTTTTAAACTGCAACATTAACACCCCTCCTTCAGAGTGCAGGCACTGTACTTCCCATCTCCAGGACTCAAGTCCGGCCTGCCGGTTTCCCTGAACCCCTTCATAAATGTTACTTTGCTCACACTCCAACAGCACGTCAAGTATTAAAAACCATTTGTCTCCATTCACTCCTATCAAACACGCTCACGCATGCCTGCTGGAAGTCCAAGCCCTCGCACACAAAACCTTCTTTACCCCCTCCCTCCAACCTTTCCTAGGCCGACCCCTACCCGCCTTCCTTCCACTACAGACTGATACACTCTTGAAGTCACTCTGTTTGCTCCAATTCTCTCTACATGTCCGAACCACCTCAACAACCCTTCCTCAGCCCTCTGGACAACAGTTTTGGTAATCCCGCACCTCCTCCTAACTTCCAAACTACGAATTCTCTGCATTATATTCACACCACACATTGCCCTCAAACATGACATCTCCACTGCCTCCAGCCTTCTCCTCGCTGCAACATTCATCACCCATGCTTCACACCCATATAAGAGCGATGGTAAAACTATACTCTCATACATTCCCCTCTTTGCCTCCAAGGACAAAGTTCTTTGTCTCCACAGACTCCTAAGTGCACCACTCACCCTTTTCCCCTTATCAATTCTATGATTCACCTCATCTTTCATAGACCCATCCGCTGACACGTCCACTCCCAAATATCTGAATACATTCACCTCCTCCATTCTCTCTCCCTCCAATCTGATATCCAATCTTTCATCACCTAATCTTTTTGTTATCCTCATAACCTTACTCTTTCCTGTATTCACTTTTAATTTTCTTCTTTTGCACACCCTACCAAATTCATCCACCAATCTCTGCAACTTCTCTTCAGAATCTCCCAAGAGCACAGTGTCATCAGCAAAGAGCAACTGTGACAACTCCCACTTTGTGTGATTCTTTATCTTTTAACTCCACGCCTCTTGCCAAGACCCTCGCATTTACTTCTCTTACAACCCCATCTTTAAATATATTAAACAACCACGGTGACATCACACATCCTTGTCTAAGGCCTACTTTTACTTGGAAATAATTTCCCTCTTTCCTACATACCCTAACTTGAGCCTCACTATCCTCGTAAAAACTCTTCACTGCTTTCAGTAACCTACCTCCTACACCATACATCTGCCACATTGCCCCCCTATCCACCCTGTCATACGCCTTTTCCAAATCCATAAATGCCACAAAGACCTCTTTAGCCTTATCTAAATACTGTTCACTTGTATGTTTCACTGTAAACACCTGGTCCACACACCCCCTACCTTTCCTAAAGCCTCCTTGTTCATCTGCTATCCTATTCTCCGTCTTACTCTTAATTCTTTCAACAATAACTCTACCATACACTTTACCAGGTATACTCAACAGACTTATCCCCCTATAATTTTTGCACTCTCTTTTGTCCCCTTTGCCTTTATACAAAGGAACTATGCATGCTCTCTGCCAATCCCTAGGTACCTTACCCTCTTCCATACATTTATTAAATAATTGCACCAACCACTCCAAAACTATATCCCCACCTGCTTTTAACATTTCTGTCTTTATCCCATCAATCCCGGCTGCCTTATCCCCTTTCATTTTACCTACTGCCTCATGAACTTCCCCCACACTCACAACTGGCTCTTCCTCACTCCTACAAGATGTTATTCCTCCTTGCCCTATACACAAAATCACAGCTTCCCTATCTTCATCAACATTTAACAATTCCTCAAAATATTCCCTCCATCTTCCCAATACCTCTAACTCTCCATTTAATAACTCTCCTCTCCTATTTTTAACTGACAAATCCATTTGTTCTTTAGGCTTCCTTAACTTGTTAATCTCACTCCAAAACTTTTTCTTATTTTCAACAAAATTTGTTGATAACATCTCACCCACTCTCTCATTTGCTCTCTTTTTACATTGCTTCACCACTCTCTTAACCCCTCTCTTTTTCTCCATATACTCTTCCCTCCTTGCATCACTTCTACTTTGCAAAAACTTCTCATATGCTAACTTTTTGTCCCTTACTACTCTCTTTACATCATCATTCCACCAATCGCTCCTCTTCCCTCCCGCACCCACTTTCCTGTAACCACAAACTTCTGCTGAACACTCTAACACTACATTTTTAAACCTATCCCATACCTCTTCGACCCCATTGCCTATGCTCTCATCAGCCCATCTATCCTCCAATAGCTGTTTATATCTTACCTTAACTTAATAAAAGCTTGCATTAATATCTGCATCTCACACTTGGTGCTAAATAGTTATCCACCTAATGGCATGTTTGTTGTGCCCATCATTTGTCAATAATAATTATCCAACTAATGAGATATTTAATGTACTATTTATGTTTTAGGTTGGAGTGGCTGAGGGGGTGTTTCTTGTGGAAACACTACAGAGACTTCTTTCCGATCCATCTTATTAAGACTGCTGAGCTTGATCCTTCAAAAAATTATATTATGGGCTACCATCCTCATGGCATCCTCTCTGCTGGAGCATTTTGTCATTTTGCCACAGAGGGAACTAACTTTAGTAAGGTGGGAATTCTCTTAAGTTTTCTGGGCTTTAACAACCCTAATTACCTGTGCTGGTGCATGCTGATAATTTATGTAATTTGTGTAAAAATTTGTATAATCTTTCATTGTCATCTCTGACTTTAGAAAAAAGACCATTTTTATTAGGAGAGCTCTAGCTGTCTACGGAAGCACCGATGTAATATGTAATAGGATTTTTTCTTCATATTGTAACCTGTAAATGGTGTGCTTCCTTGTACAGTATTCAGATGCTGACCTTGATCCTTCAGGATTTAATACAGTAGCTATTAAGTATGATGTGTTATGTATATTATGTATTGTTGGTTTTCATGTTTTAAATCTTATGTATTACAAGACCTTATGGCTGCAACTTGTTTTAATGTTTCAGTATCTTGGCTAAGTGATTTCCAAATCTTGATATCACAGTTGATCTTCACTTCCTAACCTAGATAGGGACCAGATATAACTTTCATTAATTGAGGAAAACGTCAAGGAAATTTCATTTTCCCGTAAACACAAATGTTACACCCTGAGATACCAACAGGGACAATAATACTTCGTATCTAGTAAAAATATTGTGGAAGGAGTAGTAGGTAAATTTTGGGTTCCAGGGGTAAATGAAAATGGGGAGCCTTTAATTGAGCTTTGTGTAGAAAGAGGTTTGATAATAAGTAATACATATTTTATGAAAAAGAGGATAAATAAATATATTAGGTATGATATAGCAATTAATGAAAGTACAGTGGAGCCCCGGCTTACGATATTATTTCATTCCAGAAGTATGTTCAGGTGCCATTACTGAACGAATTTGGTCCCATAAGGAATATTGTGACTTAGATAAGTCCATTTCAGACCCCCAAACATACACGTACAAACGCACTTACATAAATACACTTACATAACTGGTCGCATTGGGAGCTGATTGTAAAGCGGGGGGTCCACTGTAGTTTGTTAGATTATGTATTGGTGGATAAAAGGTTGATGGGTAGGTTCCAGGATGTACATGTTTATAGAGGGGCAACTGATATATTGGATCATTATTTAGTTGTAGCTACAGTTAGAGTAAGAGGTAGCTGGGACAAGAGGAAAATGGCAACAAGTAAGAGAGGTGAAAGTGTATGAACTAAGAGATGAGGAAGTTTGGGTGAAATATAAGCAACTATTGGCAGAAAGGTGGGCTAGTGCAAGTATGAGTAGTGTGTGTGTGTGTGTGTGGGGGGGGGTTGAAGAGGGTTGGAATAGTTTTAAAAATGCAGTATTAGAATGTGGGGCAGAAGTTTGTGGTTATAGGAGGGTGGGTGCAGGAGGAAAGAGGAGTGATTGGTGGAATGATGAAGTAAAGGGTGTGATAAAAGAGAAAAAGGTAGCTTATGAGAGGTTTTTACAAAGCAGAAGTGTTATAAGAAGAGCTGAGTATATGGAGAGTAAAAGAAAGGTGAAGAGAGTGGTGGGAGAGTGCAAAAGGAGAGCAGATGAGTGGGAGAGGCACTGTCAAGTAATTTGAATGAAAATGAGAAAAAATTTTGGAGTGAGTTAAACAAAGCCTTGGCAACAAAAGGATTTGTCAGTTAAAAATGGAGTAGGGGAGTTAGTAGATGGGGAGATGGAGGTATTGGATAGAGGGCAGGAATATTTTGAGGAACTTTTAAATGTCGACGAAGAAAGGGAAGCGGTAATTTCATGCATTGGCCAGGGAGGTATACCATCTTTTAGGTGTGAAGAAGAGCAAGATGTGAGTGTGGGGGAGGTGCATTAGGCGTTACGTAGAATGAAAGGGGGTAAAGCAGCTGGAACTGACAGGATCATGACAGAAATTTTAAAAGCAGGGGGGGATATAATGTTGGAGTGGTTGGTATTTTTGTTTTATAAATGTATGAAAGAGGGGAAGGTACCTAGGGATTGGCAGAGAGCATGTATAGTACCTTTACATAAAGGAAAGGGGGACAAAAGAGATGGTAAAAATTATAGAGGAATTAGTTTACCGAGTATACCAGGAAAAGTGTACAATAGGGTTATTATTGAAAGAATTAGCGGTAAGACAGATTGTAGGATTGCGGATGAGCAAGGAGGTTTAGTGGGTAGGGGATGTGTAGATCAAGTGTTTACATTGAAGCATATATGTGAACAGTATTTAGATAATGGTAGGGAAGTTTTCATTGCATTTATGGATTTAGAAAAGGCATATGATAGAGTGGATAGGGGAGCAATGTGGCAGATGTTGCAAGTATATGGAATAGGTAGTAAGTTACTAAATGCTGTAAAGAGTTTTTATGAGGATAGTGAGACTTAGGTTAGGGTGTGTAGAAGAGAGGGAGACTACTTCCCGGTAAGGTGATGAGGGTATCAAATTATTTAGATAAAAAAAAATTGGATATCAAATTGGAGAGGAGGAGTATGGAAGAAGTGAATGTTTTCAGATAATATATTTGGGAGTTGACGTGTCAGCGATGGATTTATGAAGGATGAGGTTAATCATAAAATTGATGAAGGAAAAAAGGTGAGTGGTGCTTTGAGCTATGTGTGGAGACAAAAAATGTTATCTATGGAGGCAAAGAAGGTAATGTATGAAAGTATAGTGGTACCAACACTCTTATATAAGAATGGAAGATATATTACAGAAATTGAGATGATTTTGATTGGTTTCATAATGAAAAGTACCTTGAAGTTGAGCTCAAAGTAGCAGAAATGTTTGATTTTTACCAAATTTCAAAAGTAAACAAATCATGCCAAGCGTCCAATACACGTCAACTGGTGAGTCTGATATTCTTTCACAAGTGCACTGATATTATTTATACCATTTCTACATAACCATTTCTGCATAACAGTAAATCTTCTATTTTTTGTGAGAATAAAAATTCAAAGTGGAAAGCAAGAGAGATGTAATAGGGGCCTGGGGACATGACTAATGAACAGAGAAAATGTTATTTTAGTATCAGGAATGTCTCTTGCTTATTCTGGACCCTATTTGGAAATTGGCATCTTCTGAAATTTGTGTGAAAATGGCAAAATTGCCAATTTCTGACCACTTTATTGGATACTTGAAATCGGTAAATGGGTGGTTTCTTGTACTCATTCGATAGAAAAAATGGAGTTCTGGCGAAATAGATATGACTTTTGTCAACTAGTACACTGAAATTGGCCGAATATAGGGCTCAAAGTGTCCGAAATTGCCGATGCGTGAACATCGTCGAGTCTGCTAACTTCGCGAGAGCATAATTTCTTCAGTTTTCCATCAAATTTCATACTTTTGGTGTCATTATGATTGGGAAAAGATTCTCTATCATTTCATAAGATTTTTTTTTTTTCGACCCTGAGAACGAGTTTAGGAGAGGGCCTCTCGACCCTGAAAGTGTTAATTGTAATTGTGCGCTACTATTGGAAATGAAAAGGTAAATTTAAATTGCAGGGTTTTGAAAATGCAAGCTATGATTGTGCAACTTATGAATTATCCCAAGCCCTTGGATTGATATAAAAGAAGCCTTTGTAGGATCCTGGAAAGAGTCATTCATAACAGCTGAAGAGTGAATGAAGAAATGTGTCAAATACAAGTTTAAATAATTGAGAAGAATATTAACAAATTGAAGTATGAACTCTGATTTTAAGAGGTACAATATTCAAAAGATTTTCATAAGGGAGTAAATGAATCATGTGAAAATAGTCATTTTCTTTGAGATGCCTGTATTTGGTATGAAAATTCAGGTGCTCTGTATACATTGTTGAGTATTGCAGAGTTATTCAGTTTGGCATCGTTGGTGTTAGGAAGTGTCAGTTGTTTTAGGAATCATTGTAGGAATCATTAAATAGTTGGCAGCACTCATGAGCTTGGCGTAAAGTTTTAGACGTGTTGCTCTTAACGGTTTTACATTTTATAATAACTGCATGTCACTCCTAAATTGTCTTCAAATTTTCTGGATAACTGACATGTGCTTGGTTGAAGGTGTTCCTCCATTTCAGCCAAGTTAAGCTTGTAGTGCTTGCTAATATATAGCTTTTGTCTATTGCACTGCTACCACAGAGGTTCCCAGGATTCACACCTTACCTGCTAACACTGGAAGCTCAAATCATTCTTCCTTTCTACAGAGAATTCTTCATGGCTACTGGTTAGTACACTAAAGTAACATTTGGAATGCATTTATTGACAACTCGCTTCATTATTAATTCATGCATCTATCACAACAGAATTTCCCGGGATTCACTCCTCACCTGCTTACTTTGGAAGGCCATTTTTTCCTCCCCTTCTACAGAGAGTTCTTCATGGCTTCTGGTTAGTATTGTCATACACGAGTACCATTTGTAAACATGGATGGCCCTATTTAATGTGTGTCACTCAATAGTATTTCCATGATTTATTAAAGTAAGGCTAGAGTAGGTCTTTGAATTATTATTATTCATAGGGAGACTTAAACCTGTATGGGGTTGTATAGTTCTTAGGAAATAGGCAATCGAGTTTGATCAGAAGGTTATCAGATATGATGCCTTCTTGGATCATATCTGATAACATTCCATTCTCTAGGCACTGTATAACCCCTACTTGTTTAGCACTCTGTTGTGAATATAATAATCTAAGGCAGGGAAGAGTAACTCTTTTCTTGGATCAGCAGCACTTCACTATCAAGGAGATCCTCTCTAAGGGAGTATTAATATAATGAATTCACCCTACTGGGCATGCATGCTTTGGATTTGCTAGCTTTATAAAATATTGTAGCATGTTTTCTCATGATTCCAGTTAGTTAATTTAATCAACAAAATTAGAACTACAATATATGAGAATCAATGTAAGGGAAATTTTTGAACAGATGTGCAGTAAACCATTCATAAACTGCCATCCTTGACCACAACTTTGCCTGGTTCTCAAATTTTTCATATGTTCCAATTTCTCAAGAGTTTTGACTATTGACCTTGTAGGCATGTAACATTGGCATTAAAATTTTGATTGACTATCATGTATAGGAAGGGATCACCACTTACTAGCTCTGCAGCAAGTTTATGCAGAAACTTTAAGATTGCCTCATCAGTTATATGTGGAAGGAGAAATGTAAAAAAAAAAAAAAAAAAAAAAGACAAGTACAAGAAATTGGAAAAGATTTAATTGCAAAGGGAAATGTGAAATTGAAGAAAAGAGTAAATGAGCAGGAAATTCTGCGGTGTTGATCTGCTACCACTCGTGAAGCATGCATAACACTGATTTGTAGGATGTAATATCACAGCCTTCCCGTGTTTTCTTTTTTGTGATCTTTTTCCAGTATTGGTTACATCACTGCTATACCGTACACTTCAAAGGCTCACATATTTTTAAATGTAATATTTTGTTGAATCTTTAATATGCTGTTTAATCCTTTGCTTACCTTAAAGAATAGCATGTGCCTAGGTAACAAAATAAGCCAATCGTTAACCCTTTCTGAGTCAGAGCCGTACTACTGTTTTGAGCTCAGGGTCAGTGCCGTAGTACTACGGTTTTGAGCTCAGGGTCAGTGGCATGGTATGTGTACTCTGGTTTTGAGCTCAGGGTCAGTGCTGTAGTACATACAATGGTTTTGAGCTCAGGGTTCATGCCATAGAACTACTTGATGAGCTTAGCTCACGCAGATAAGCTGCGAGAGGTAAATTTTGGCCTAGATATGAGAGCATGAGTCTATGCGGCGAGTGCACCATATAAAAAATCCTGCCCCCACGCAGTGCATGATGGGGAAAACAAAACTGTGATTGTATGTATGGTTTAAAATAGCAATTTTGCAGTGTATTTTCAGGTGGTTTATATGGTTTGATTCTTGGTTTCATTTGAAAGAATGGACGATCTTTCACAGAAATAGAAATGATTTTGGTTGGCTTCAGGACTGGAAGTAACTTGAAACTGAGCTCAGATTAGCAGAAATATTTTATTATTGTCAATATTCTAGTGGACACTAATCACGTTACTCGGCTAATATGTGTCCAACTGGCCAGTCTAATACATATTCATGAATGCACTGACATTATTTATACAATTATTGTAATAATGCAGTAATGCGACGGTCTGGAGTTTTGAGAGACTGACCGCTGGATCAAACCCCACCTGTGGTATGGTTTGTTTGCAATCGTGTCATAACGATTTCGTGAGTCAGTAATAATGCAGTAGTCGTGCATGACAGTAAATCTCCTGATTTTTTGTGTGAATAAAAATTCAATAAATGTATGGAAGAGGGTAAGGTACCTAGGGATTGGCAGAGAGCATGCATAGTTCCTTTGTATAAAGGCAAAGGGGACAAAAGAGAGTGCAAAAATTATAGGGGGATAAGTCTGTTGAGTATATCTGGTAAAGTGTATGGTAGAGTTATTATTGAAAGAATTAAAAGTAAGACTGAGAATAGGATAGCAGATGAACAAGGAGGCTTTAGGAAAGGTAGGGGGTGTGTGGACCAGGTGTTTACAGTGAAACATATAAGAGAACAGTATTTAGATAAGGCTAAAGAGGTCTTTGTGGCATTTATGGATTTGGAAAAGGCGTATCACAGGGTGGATAGGGAGGCAATGTGGCAGATGTTGCAGGTGTATGGTGTAGGAGGTAGGTTACTGAAAGCAGTGAAGAGTTTTTACGAGGATAGTGAGGCTCAAGTTAGAGTACATAGGAAAGAGGGAAATTATTTCCCAGTAAAAGTAGGCCTTAGACAAGGATGTGTGATGTCACCGTGGTTGTTTAATATATTTATAGATGGGGTTGTAAGAGAAGTAAATGCGAGGGTCTTGACAAGAGACGTGGAGTTAAAAGATAAAGAATCACACATAAAGTGGGAGTTGTCACAGTTGCTCTTTGCTGATGACACTGTGCTCTTGGGAGATTCTGAAGAGAAGTTGCAGAGATTGGTGGATGAATTTAGTAGGGTGTGCAAAAGAAGAAAATTAAAAGTGAATACAGGAAAGAGTAAGGTTATGAGGATAACAAAAATATTAGGTGATGAAAGATTGGAATCAGATTGGAGGGAGAGAGTATGGAGGAGGTGAATGTATTCAGATATTTGGGAGTGGACGTGTCAGCGGATGGGTCTATGAAGGATGAGATGAATCATAGAATTGATGAAGGGTAAAGGGTGAGTGGTGCACTTAGGAGTCTGTGGAGACAAAGAACTTTGTCCTTGGAGGCAAAGAGGGGAATGTATGAGAGTATAGTTTTACCAACACTCTTATATGGGTGTGAAGCATGGGTGATGAATGTTGCAGCGAGGAGAAGGCTGGAGGCAGTGGAGATGTCATGTCTGAGGGCAATGTGTGGTGTGAATATAATGCAGAGAATTCGTAGTTTGGATGTTAGGAGGAGGTGCAGGATTACCAAAACTGTTGTCCAGAGGGCTGAGGAAGGGTTATTGAAGTGGTTCGGACATGTAGAGAGAATGGAGCGAAACAGAATGACTTCAAGAGTGTATCAGTCTGTAGTGGAAGGAAGGTGGGGTAGGGGTCGGCCTAGGAAAGGTTGGAGGGAGGAGGTAAAGGAGGTTTTGTGTGCGAGAGGCTTGAACTTCCAGCAGGCATGCATGAGCGTGTTTGATAGGAGTGAATGGAGACGAATGGTTTTTAATACTTGACGTGCTGTTGGAGTGTGAGCAAAGTAACATTTATGAAGGGGTTCAGGGAAACCGGCAGGCCGGACTTGAGTCCTGGAGATGGGAAGTACAGTGCCTGCACTCTGAAGGAGGGGTGTTAATGTTGCAGTTTAAAAACTGTAGTGTAAAGCACCCTTCTGGCAAGACAGTGATGGAGTGAATGATGGTGAAAGTTTTTCTTTTTCGGGCCACCCTGCCTTGGTGGGAATCGGCCAGTGTGATAATAAAAAATAAAATAAAATAACAGTAATAATAATAATAACAGTAATAACCACTCGTTATTAACATTAATAACAATATTAATAATGAGTGGTGTTGTGGTGGTGATGTGTATAAGGACCACTGAGAGCATAAGCCATACATAGTGGTGGTGAAGACTAGCAGAGGTGACTGTGTTCTCAGTAGCCCTATATATCTCCAGCATCATTGGAGGAGTTAGGTTCATGCTGTCTTTTTTCTGTCGATTAATAGCTTAACTTACTTGCTACACTGTTAATGCTACACTTTATCGCTGGCTGGCGCTGTAGCCTTTATCGAATAGTGCTGCTTTAATATCGTACATATCGTAGAATCACTGAAGAAGGCACATTCTCCCCTCTTTTCATCTTCACTTTGGTTCTCTGCTATGAGTTCTTTCTTGAATTCTATAGTCTTTCTCGCCTTCTTTACCAAAGGGCTGGTACTAGTACAATATTTTACGATGTTTTCATGTGTTTTATGATTGTTCATGGTACAATAGGTTAAGGAAGGAGTATTGTTAGGCCAAGTAAATGCTATTATTATATTTCCCTACAATATATTTGTGTAATAAAGTTGGTAGAATTACCGACAATATGTAAAGTAAAAGGACACAAGTGCAACTAATGTGACATTTTATTGTGGCAACATTTCGCTCTCCGAAAATGTTGCCACAATAAAATGTCACATTAGTTGCACTTGTGTCCTTTTAATATATTTGTGCACTAAACATTCATGATTTTTCAACATTCATGAGGTTCTTGATCCCCTAACCCTCGCAAATGTGGAGGGAAACCTGTACATTTTTTTTAACAAACCAGCTATGTCCCACCAAGGCAGCATGATCTAAAAAAAAAAATTAAATTTTCTCTTTTTAAATTGAGTAATGTATACAGAAGGGGTTACTAGCCCCTTCCTTCCGGCATTTTCGTCGCCTCTTATGGCACGCATGGCATATGTAGGAAGAAGTCTGTTCCACTTATATATTGGTCATGTTCTGACATACCCTGTGAATGTGTAAATTTAGCTTTATTCTGCATTTAATATATGATCTATTTTGTTCTGCATCATAGTTATTTGCTTGTGTTGTGCTTTTTAAGCTGAATTTTCAAGACTGGTTCCTTCAACAATCATTGTTTTGCCAAATAAGGTGAAGGCAAATTTATTTTTGCAATAGCTTTTCAAAATAAGTCTAAATATCACTAATTTATGCTATATTGATGTTTAATACTGACTAAATTTAGATGGACCTTAAATAGATTGGGTAGGATTAAGCTCCATTATACAGGTATTAGGCTAATTTTACCAAGATTACATTCAAATGCTGAGTTTGCGTTGCTGTAAATGAAAAATTTGTACGGCACATTAATTCATTATGCAAATACGTACGTACAGTATGTATCGATTATCATGAAGTGAAGTTTCTAGAAAACAATTGAAATAGTTCAGCTTTCTTGTTTTTCAAGTTCAGCATATTAATGATGATATTTACTGTTATTGCACATTCAAGGTGTAAAGTAAAATCTTTAAAGTTTGGTGTTAAAGCATGTTTTAAGGATTTTTACCTTATTACCATAAGATTATTTTTTGTGCCTTTGTTTTAGGTGCTGTGAGTGCTACTAGAGAGAGCATGGACTACCTGTTGGGTCAGGAAGGGTCTGGCCGTGCTCTTTGCTTGGTGGTTGGTGGTGCGAAAGAATCGCTAGATTGTCACCCAGGGACAGTCGTCTTGCACCTCAACAAGCGCAAAGGTTTTTGCAAGATGGCTCTCAGACATGGGTAAGCTTGTTTTGGCTGTTGTTTATTACACCAAAGTGATACATATACCCAAACAATTGATTTCAGAATCTTCAGTTGTTACTGTATTCTAATTAGTTTGTCCAGTAGTTTTAGATCAGCCAGCTAAGAATTTTAGTATTCTTATGCATATCGTTAGAAGACCAAAGCAGCAAAAAATAGAATGAACAATTAAGTGTTTACATTGAAGCATATATTTTATTTTTTATCACACTGGCCGATTCCCACCAAGGCAGGTTGGCCCGAAAAAGAAAAACTTTCACTATCATTCACTCCATCACTCTTGCTAGAAGGGTGCTTTACACTACAGTTTTTAAACTGCAACATTAACACCCCTCCTTCAGAGTGCAGGCACTGTACTTCCCATTTCCAGGACTCAAGTCCGGCCTGCCGGTTTCCCTGAACCCCTTCATAAATGTTACTTTGCTCACACTCCAACAGCACCTCAAGTTTTAAAAACCATTTGTCTCCATTCACTCCTATCAAACACGCTCACGCATGCCTGCTGGAAGTCCAAGCCCCTCGCACACAAAACCTCCTTTACCCCCTCCCTCCAGCCTTTCCTAGGCCGACCCCTACCCCGCCTTCCTTCCACTATAGACTGATACACTCTTGAAGTCATTCTGTTTCGCTCCATTCTCTCTACATGTCCGAACCATCTCAACAACCCTTACTCAGCCCTCTGGACAACAGTTTTGGTAATCCCGCACCTCCTCCTAACTTCCAAACTACGAATTCTCTGCATTATATTCACACCACACATTGCCCTCAGACATGACATTTCCACTGCCTCCAGCCTTCTCCTCGCTGCAACATTCATCGCCCATGCTTCACACCCATATAAGAGCGTTGGTAAAACTATACTCTCATACATTCCCCTCTTTGCCTCCAAGGACAAAGTTCTTTGTCTCCACAGACTCCTAAGTGCACCACTCACCCTTTTCCCCTCATCAATTCTATGATTCACCTCATCTTTCATAGACCCATCTGCTGACACATCCACTCCCAAATATCTGAATACATTCACCTCCTCCATACCCTCTCCCTCCAATCTGATATCCAATCTTTCATCACCTAATCTTTTTGTTATCCTCATAACCTTACTCTTTCCTGTATTCACTTTTAATTTTCTTCTTTTGCATACCCTACCAAATTCATCCACCAATCTCTGCAACTTCTCTTCAGAATCTCCAAAGAGCACAGTGTCATCAGCAAAGAGAAACTGTGACAACTCCCACTTTGTGTGATTCTTTATCTTTTAACTCCACGCTTCTTGCCAAGACCCTCGCATTTACTTCTCTTACAACCCCATCTATAAATATATTAAACAACCATGGTGACATCACACATCCTTGTCTAAGGCCTACTTTTACTGGGAAATAATTTCCTTCTTTCCTACATACTCTAACTTGAGCCTCACTATCCTCGTATAGATGGGGTTATAAAAGAAGTAAATGCTAGGATATTCGTGAGAGGGGTGGGATTAAATTATGGGGAATCGAATACAAAATGGGAGTTGACAGTTACTTTTTGCTGATGATGCTGTGCTTATGGGAGATTCTGAAGAAAAGTTGCAAAGGTTAGTGGATGAGTTTGGGAGGGTGTGTAAAGGTAGAAAGTTGAAAGTGCACATAGATAAGATTAAGGCGATGAGGGTATAATTTTTTTTTTTTTTTTTAACAAGTCGGCCGTCTCCCACCGAGGCATGGTGACCCAAAAAGAAAGAAAATCCCCAAAAAGAAAATACTTTCATCATCATTCAACACTTTCACCTCACTCGCACACAATCACAAATTATTTAGATAAAGAAAAATCGGATATCACATTGGAGAGAGGGAGTATGAAAGAAGTGAATGTTTTTAGATATTTGAGAGTTGACATGTCAGTGGATGGATTTATGAAGGATGAGGGTAACCATAGAATTGATAAAGGAAAACAGAGGAGTGGTGCATTGAGGTATATGTGGAGACAAAAAACATTATGTATTGAGGCAAAGAAGGGAATGTATGAAAGTAGTGGTACCAACACTCTTATATGGATGTGAAGCTTGGCTTGTAAATGCTGCAGCAAGGAAGTGGTTGGAGGCAGTGGAGATGTCCTCTCTAAGGGCAATGTGTGGTGTAAATATTATGCAGAAAAATCAGTGTGGAAATTAGGAGAAGGTGTGGTGTTAATAAATGTATTAGTCAGAGGGATGAAGAGGTGGTTTGGTCATTTAGAGAGAATGGATCAAAGTAGAATGATGTGGAGAGCATATAAATCTGTAGGGGAAGGAAGGCGGGGTAGGGGTCGTCCTCGAAAAGGTTGGAGGGAGGGGGTAAAGGAGGTTTTGTGGGCGAGGGGCTTGGACTTCCAACAAGCGTGCTTGAGCATGTTAGATAGGAGTGAATGGAGACGAATGGTGTTTGGGACCTGACTAACTGTTGGAGCGTGAGCAGGGTAATATTTAGTGAAGGGATTCAGGGAAACCGGCTATTTTTATGTAGCCGGACTTGAGTACTGGAAATGGGAAGTACAATGCCTGCACTTTAAAGGAGGGGTTTGGGATATTGGCAGTTTGAAGGGATATGTTATATATCTTTATAAATGCTTCTAAACTGTTGTATCTGGGCGCCTCTGCAAAAACAGTGATTATGTATGAGTGAGGTGAAAGTGTTGATTGATGATGAAAGTATTTTCTTTTTGGGGATTTTCTTTCCTTTTGGGTTACCCTGCCTCGGTAGAAAGCGGCCAACTTGTTGAAAAAAAAAAATTATTTACACCAATTTATACCATATTCTGTGTGGAGCAATGTTGGACTGACCATTGCCACACGTTTGAAGTGCTAAAGTACCTTGAAATGCATCTGGTATCATAAGACACTAGTGTACACATTTTAAATTTTAACCCTTTCAGGGTCCAAGGCCAAAATCTGAAGTGGTGCCCCAGTGTCCAAGAATTTTCAAAAAAAAAAAATTATTTTTTCTTGTGAAATGGTAGAGAATCTTTTGGTGAAGGTAATAAAACAAAAAGTACGAAATTTGATGGAAAATTGACAAAATTATGCTCTCGCGAATTTTGATGTGTCAGCAATATTTACGAATCGGCGATTTGGCCGACTTTGACTCCCATTTTAGGCCAATTACATTATTCCAGTCGACCAAATTCTTAGCTATTTCACTAGTATTACTTCTATTCTATCGATTGAGCACAAGAAATAGCCAACTCAACTGTTTCAACTACAAAATAAAGTGATTGGAAATTGGTAATTTGGCCAATTTAACACGAAGTTCAAAATAGGGTCCAGAATAAACAATGTAGGTATTCCTGGCACTAAACTAACATTTCCTCTGTTCATTAGTTACGTTTTGAGGCTTTAAAAAAAAATTCCATTTTGATTTTTTATTCACATAATGAATTTTTATTCACACCAAAAAATAGAAGATTTACTGTTATGCAATATTGTAATAATTGTATAAATATCATCACCACATTTGTGAATGTGTATTAGACCCACCAGCTGGTGTGTATCAGACGTGTGAGGTCGTTTGTTTACTCTTGAACATCGGCAAAAATTTAACATTTCCACTACTTTGAGCTCAGTTTCAAGCCATTTCCAGTGCTAAAACCAATCAAAATCATCTCTATTTCTGTAATATGTCTTCCATTCTATCAAATGAGACCAAGAAATCACAAATACAACTATAAAAAACATACGAAAAAACACTGCAAAGTCGCTGTTTTAATCGAAAATCATGGTCTTGTTTTTTTCTCTCATTATACACAGTGTGCTGCAGGATTTGTTTTATGTGGTGCACACATACCACATAGATGTATTCTCTCATATCTAGGCCCAAATTTACCACTCACAGTTTATCAGAGTGAGCTGAACCCATGGTGTAGATCTACGGTTTGGACCCTGAACGTAAAGCCGTAGATCTATGGGACGGACCCTGAAAGGGTTAAAAAGCAATTCAAAAACTGAATAATGATCATAATTTGGCATCAATAAATTGTAAAATGTAAATATCACTGGACCATCTACACTTCTATTGCCAGCGAGTGATCATCTTTTTGCCAACATCAACACCATAAAATCCTAAGGTTTCATCAGATTAGACTCATTGTAGTCTTATTCGATACTTAAAAATGCACTCTTTCATTCTGTAAGATTTTTTTTTTTATCTCAAAATCTTGCCCCACACAGGAATTTTCTTAGTAGGCATGTCACAGTTAATGGGTTAATTGTACTTTATGTTGAATCTAACTTGAAAGCATCATAGAACTGAAACACACTCCTATATACAGAAACTTGTATACATGAAAACCAGGATAGACAATGAGGTTCTTAAATATACTGTGCTTATCAACCTGTGCATAATACATGTGTGTGTGTGATGAATGGTTTGAAAAACCGACAAGTTGAAGATTAAGACACTCATGCAGCATATGGGAATCTTTATTCAGGAAACGTTTCGCCACACAGTGGCTTCATCAGTCCAATACAAAGAGGAAGGCGTAAGGAGAGGAGGAGTATGAGGTAATCAGTCCCTCAGCCTGGAGTCGATGTGTTCAGTCCATCAATCTTGTGTGCTGCATGCACCCACATATTAGGCAGGGTGACCCGGAAAAAGAAGAAACACTTTCACCATCACTCACTCCATCGTTGGGGTGATACTACCGTTCAGATGCCTCTCCAAGTGTGGATATTCCCACACCTTCAGATTCTATGCACTATACTTTCCACATCCAGGATTCAAGTTCAGCTAATTGGATTCCCTGAATACATTGATAAATGTTTTCTTGTGTGCATATTTGTATTAACTATGTTGATAATTTTGTGATTATGTATATTTGTTATCATTATTTCATAAAATTCATTAAGATAAATATTGATAGGTGTTCTCTTCTACAAATAATACATAATTTTCTAGTTCAATGTTGCTAGAAAAAATAATTTCATGATAGTATTTTGAACCAGCCTCTCCTCCCACCCTATCGACTCATGGTACATTATTAACTTGCTTTCTACTTGTAGGATTGAAAGTGGAAAGAAGTCACAAGTTTTGTTTTCTATATTTCAGTGCTTCACTTGTGCCAATGTTTTCCTTTGGTGAAAATGAGATCTATGACCAGATAACTAATCCTGAGGGTTCTCTGTTACGTCGATTTCAAAATAGTCTTCAGAAAGTCATTGGTCTGGCTCCATGTATGTTTATTGGCCGAGGTGTGTTTCAGTATAGCTTTGGCATTGTTCCCTTCCGAAAACCTATCTACACAGTTGGTAAGTTTTCTCTGATAAATTTTCCACTTTTTTTAGATTATTAACATTTGCTATCATGATGTAGGATTATAATTAATCACTAAATAATAGGAATGGTGTTAAAACATGTAATAAATTCTTGGTACCATCTTTACACAGTTTAAATTCCTAGAAAATGCCATAGGAATGGAGCACTGATTTTGAATATTGAACTCAAAACATATTGGTAAATGCAGCGAAATACAAAGCATGCATCCCTTTGTATGTGTGTACATTTCCTCTGTTCATTAGTCACATCCCCAGACCTCTGTTATATTTCTTTTGTTTTCCGCTTTGAATTTTTATTCTCACAAAAAACAGAAGATTTACTGTTATGCAGACTACTGCATTAGTGTAGAAATGGTATAAATAATATCAGCGCACTTGTGAAACAATATTAGACTCACCAGTTGACGTGTATTGGACTTGTGGCATGTTTTGTTTACTTTTGAACTTGGGCAAAAATTGAACATTGCTACTTTCAGCTCAATTTCAAGGTACTTTTCATTGTGAAACCAATCAAAATCGTCTCAATTTCCGTAACATGTCTTCCATTCTATAAAATGAGACCAGGAAAACTAGAATAAAGCTATAAATAGCATACGAAAATACACATCAAAATCGCTGTTTTAAACCAAAAGCACTGTCAGTTTTTTTTTCTCATTATGCACCGTGTGGTGCAGGATTTTTTTTATACTGCGCACACTGACCACATAGACCCATTCTTTCATATGTAGGTCTACCAGCTTTCTCTCGCTAGAGTTGAAGGAGCTAGAATTTATGCGTACTAGTATGGCACCAACCCTGAAAGGGTTAATTTCTTGACGTGTTTGACCAGGTGTGGTTTCCAAACTGGTGCTGCGTACTCCAGTATGAGCATGACGTACATAGTGTATAAAGTCTTGAACGATTCCTTACTGAGGTACTGGAATGCTATTCTCAGGTTTGCCAGGCGCCCATTTGCTGCAGCAGTTATCTGGTTAATGTGTGCTTCTGGTGACGTTCTTGGTATTATACTCGCCCTAAGATCTTTCTCCTTGAGTGAGGTTTGCAGTCTTTGGCCGCCTGGCCTGTACTCTGTCTGTGGTCTTCTTTGCCCTTCTCCGATCCTCATGACTTGGCATTTGGTGGGGTTAAATTCTAGGAGCCAGTTGCTGGACCACTCGTCCAGCCTGTCCAGGTCTCTTTGTAGACCTGTCTGGTCCGCATCTGATTTAATTCTCTTCGTTAACTTCACATCATCTGCAAACAGGGACACTTCTGAGACTGTCCCTTCCATCATGTCATTCACATATACCAAGAATAGCACTGGTCCCAGGACTGAACCCTGTGGGACCCCACTTGTCACAGGCACCCACTGTGATACCTCATCACGGACCATGACTCGCTGTTGTGTCCCTGTTAGGTATTCTCGGATCTATTGCAGTGCCCTTCCTGTTATATGTGCCTGATCCTCTAGCTTTTGTACTAATCTCTTGTAAGGAACTGTGTTGAAGGCCTTCTTGCAGTCCAAGAAAATGCAATCAACCCACCCCTCCATTTCATGTCTTACCTCAGTTACCTTGTCATAAAACTCTAGTAGGTTTGTGACACAGGATTTGAATTCCATGAATCCATGTGTGTGTGTCTGTCTGTGTGTGTGTGTGTGTTAGTTACCATTTGTGTGTGTGTGTGTGTGTGTGTGTGTGTGTGTGTGTGTGTGTGTGTGTGTGTGTGTGTGTGTCTGTGTCTGTGTCTGTGTCTGTCTGTCTGTCTGTACTCATCTAATTGTGGTTGCAGGGGTCGAGACTCAGCTCCTGGCCCCGCCTCTTTATGAACGCTACTGGGTCCTCTCTCTCCCTGCTCCTGAGCTTTATCATACCTCATCTTAAAGCTACGTATGGTTCCTGCCTCCACTACCTCATTTGCTAGACTATTCCACTTCCTGACTACTCTATGACTGAAGAAATACTTCCTAACATCCCTTTAACTCATCTGAGTCTTCAGCTTCCAATTGTGACCCCTTGTTTGTGTCCCATCTCTGGAACATCCTGTCAATGTTCACCTTGTCTATTCCATGCAGTAGTTTGTATGTCGTTATCATGTCTCCCCTAACCCTCCTGTCCTCTGGTGTTGTCAGGCCGATTTCCCTTAACCTTTCTTCGTAGGACATTCCCCTTAGCTCTGGAACTAGCCTTGTTGCAAACCTTTGCACTTTCTCTATTTCTTGACATGCTTGATCAAGTGTGGGTTCCAAATTGGTGCTGCATACTCAAGTATGGGCCAGACATACACAGTGTACAGTGTCTTGAACGATTCCTTACTAAGGCATCGGAACACTATTCTCAGGTTTACCAGGCGCCCATATGTGCAGCAGTTGTCCGGTTGATGTGTGCTTCTAGAGACATGCTCGGTGTTATACTCACCCCAAGATCTTTCTCCTTGAGTGAGGTTTGCAGTCTTTGGCCACCTAGCCTATACTCTGTCTGCGGTCTTCTTTGCCTTTCCCTGAGCTTCACGACTTTGCATTTGGTGGGGTTAAATTCGAGAAGCCAGTTGCTGGACTAGGTGTCAAGCCTGTCCACGTCTCTTTGAAGTCCTGCCTGATCCTCATCTGATTTAATTCTCCTCGTTAACTTCACATCATCTGCAAACAGGGACACTTCTGAGTCTATCTCTTCCATCATGTCATTCACATATACCAAAAATAGCACTGGTCCTAGGACCAACCCCTGTGGGACCCCGCTCGTCACAGGTGCCCACTGTGATACCTCATCACGTACCATAACTCGTTGTTGCTTCTCTGTCAGGTATTCTCTGATCCATTGCAGTGCCCTTCCTGTTATACACGCCTGATCCTCTAGGTTCTGGACTAATCTCTCATGAGGAACTGTGTCGAAGGCCTTCTTGCAGTCCAAGAAAATGCAATCAACCCATCCCTCTCTCTTGTGTCTTCTGTTACTTTATCATAAAACTCTAGAAGGTTTGTGACATAGGATTTGCCTTCCATGAATCTGTGCTGGTTGGTGTTTATACTCTTGTTTCATTCCAGGTGCTCCACCACTCTCCTCCTGATAATCTTCTCCATGACTATATACTATACACGTCAGTGACACTGGTCTATTGTTTAGTGCCTCTTTTCTGTCTCTTTTTTGAAAATGGGAACTACATTTGCCGTCTTCCATACCTCAGGTAGTTGCCCAGTTTCAAGGGATGTGTTGAAGATTGTGGTTAGTGGCACACAGTGTTTCTGCTCCTTCTCTAAGGACCCATGGGGAGATGATATCCGGTTCCATTGCCTTTGAAGTATCAAGGTCCCTTAGCAGCTTCTTCACCTCCTCCTCAGTTGTGTGTATATCATCCAACACCTGTCGGTATATTCCTTGTTGGTGTCCTCCTCTGCTCTGTCTTCCCAGAGGCCTTCCTGTCTCCACTGTAAATACTTCCTTAAATCTTGTGTTGAGCTCCTCACCTAACTCTTGATTGTTTCTTATGAGTTCCCCAACTTCTTTCCTGAGCCTAATCACCTGGTCTTTGACTGTTGTATTCCTCCTAATGTGGCTATACAGCAGTTTTGTGTCAGACTTGACTTTTGATGCTATGTCATTTTCGTACTGTCACTGGGCCTCCCTCCTTATCTGTGCATACTGGTTTCTGGCTCTTCGACTAATCTCCTTATATTCCTGGGTCCTTTGCCTCCTGTACCTTTTCCATTCTCTGGTGCACTTAGTTTTTGCCTCTCTATACCTTCAGGTAAACCAAGGACTCGCTTTGGTCTTTCCATTATTTCTGTTGCCTTTGGGAACAAACCTTTCCTCTGCCTCCTTGCATTTTGTTGTTACATATTCTATATTGTTACATATTAGGGGGTTGTCCTCGAAAGGTTGGAGGGAGGAGGTAAAGGAGGTTTTGTGTGCGAGGGGCTTGGACTTCCAGCAAGCATGCATGAGCATGTTAGATAGGAGTGAATGGAGACGAATGGTATTTGGGACCTGATAAGCTGTTGGAGTGTGAGCAGGGTAATGTTTAATGAAGGGATTCAGGGAAACCGGTTATTTTATATAGCCAGACTTGAGTACTGGAAATGGGAAGTACAATGCCTGCACTTTAAAGGAGGGGTTTGGGATATTGGCAGTTTGGAGGGATATGTTGTGTATCTTTATACGTATATGCTTCTAAACTGTTATGTTCTGGGCACCTCTGCAAAAACAGTGATATGTGTGTGTGTGGTGAAAGTGATGAAAGTATTTTCTTTTTGGGGATTTTCTTTCTTTTTTGGGTCACCCTGCCTCGGTGGGAGACGGCCGACTTGTTGAAATAAAAAAAAAAAAAAATGTAGTCCCTTTCTCCAATCTCGTCCATGCCTTCCATTTCCTCAAATCCCCATCGGTTTTTAATGAGCAGTGCAACCCTTCCTTCCAGTCTGCTCCTATCTTTCCTCAGGATCTGATATCCCGGTGGGAAGATTGCATCTGTTATTGTCTCAGTGAGTTTCGTTTCTGTGACTGCTATGATGTCTGGGGACTTCTCATTGATTCTTTCATGGGTTTTGGTTTAGTTTGTTCAGTTGCGTTGGGGTTGTCGTGGTTGGAGTTTTTCTGCTGGTGTTTCTGGGGGGTGTGTTTGCCCTTCTACCCGAGTCTGGGTCCGGCTTATCTTCATCATTGCCTCTCGTTCCTCTTTTTGTCTTTGTACCCTCTCTTTCAGTATCATTCTTTCTTTTTGTGTTCTGTCGCGATCAAGGTACACTCTGGTACTTCGGTTTGTCCCTCACTTGTGCTTTTTCCCACAGGATCCTGGTTCGAGCTGAGTCTTCCTTGAAAATTACGTTGACAGGCCATTTCCTTCCGCTCGCAAACCACCCAATTCTCCAAGAATTTGTCACTTGGGTCATGTCGCCCTCACCTATTGTTTTCATGATACCTTCAATCGCTTTTTCCTCCTCCTGTTTTCTTTCATCATGGGTTCCCCTTTCAACTTCTTGAACCCCATAAACAAAAACTGACCTCTTCCTTTCCTCCTCCCACTGTCTCCCCCTTTGCATCCTCTGAGGTGTTTTAGTTCCTTTCATTGAAATGTTCCTGCCTTCAATCCCTGCCCTTGCTGAAGCCCCTCTGATTAGTGAACTGTCTTTCATACTCAGCTGTTCCTTGCTACTGCAGTTATCTGTTAATCTCTGCATATGGCATACCTTCATTGTCTTCAGACCTCTCGTTTGATCTTAGTTTGCTCCTCGTCTTTTCCTGGGCCCCTCGTGGGTTTGATGGGGCATTTGCATGTGGTATAGCTCCTTTTCTCCCTACAGTTCCCTTGTCTGTGACTGATATAGAAGTTCCTGATGTCATGTCTGCACTGTCATTTGTCTCTAATCTGTTTCAGGTTTTTTTTAGTTCCACTTCTAAGCCCTGTATATTATCATCATCTGCTAAGACTTGTATCTCCCACTTCCTGCTCTCTTCAGCTATCTCTCCTCCATTTTCTTGCCAAGCTCTTCTAGCTTCCTTCCCCACTCCTCCTCCCATTTTTTGAGCTCTTAACTCCCAATCTTCCCTTCCAGGTTCATCCACCAGACCTCTGGTTCTCCTCCCTCGGGGGGGGGGGGGGGGTAGCTGTATTCATACGTGTATGATACAGAAGGGGCCCCTCTTTACAGTATTTCACTAATGCAGTGGTTTTCAGTTGTACCCATTCTTCATTTATTCAGACTTCCTTAAATAAATATATTCACCACTCACTATAAGCTATGAAAATATTTTAAGGTAAGTAATGTGTGTAGGTAGTAGGTTGGTAGACAGCAACCACCCAGGGAGGTACTACCGTCCTGCCAAGTGAGTGTAAAACAGAAACCTGTAATTGTTTTACATGATGGTAGGATTACTGGTGTCTTTTTTCTGTCTCATAAACATGCAAGATTTCAGGTACATCTTGCTACTTCTACTTACACTTAGGTCACACTACACATACATGTACGTACAAGCATATATAGACACACCCCTCTGGGTTTTCTGCTGTTTTCTTTCTTGTTCTTGTTTATTTCCTCTTAATTCCATGGGAAGTGGAACAGAATTCTTCCTCCGTGTTGTAAGAGGCAACTAAAATGCCTGGGGCAAGGGGCTAATAACCCCTTCACTTGTATAAATTGCTAAATTTAAAAAGATAAACTTTCGTTTTTTCTTTTTGTGCCACCCTGCCTTGGTGGGATACGGCCGGTTTGTTGAAAAAAAAAGTAATGTGTGTACTGTATATACATTTCTAAGGCCTAGCTATGTTGCTCACTTAATATATGATAGTATAAACATGTTATCAGGCTTTTATGTTAATTTGAAAGTGTAAAAAGGCTATGTTTTACTTGACAGCAGTAGCCTGGAACCTAACCTGCTGTATAAGCAGGTACTGAAAAGTAACAATACCCAAGTAACCCACCCATAGAAAACTTATGACGATGTTTTGGTCTGACTTTAACTATTAACTAGTCACACTAGTGACCAATTTATGATCCAGGTCAGACCGAAACATCGTAAGTTCTCCAATGTGCTGGTTATTTGTGTAATGTATTATAAGATATTCTAATACATATGAGGGCAGTAATAAAATCTGCATATATATCATTGTTCCCTCTAACCAAATCCCTTTTTTTTTTTCTTTTCAGTTGGCTCACCCATTGATGTCCCTTTGGTGAAGAACCCCACTAAGGAGCAGATTGTGGGTCTCCACGAGACCTATGTCAAGGCTGTGGTTGATTTGTATAACAAGTACAAAACCAAGTATTCAGAGTTCCCTGAATGTGAAATTAAGATTGTTTAAAGATTTTAAAATTACATCCCATTTTTATAAAGGGTTATGAATTCATTTTAAGCATAATAAAATACCATGATTTTAAATTATCTTGCATGTAAGAAAGTTGAGACTGTGGTATAGACACATTTTAAGGGTTTGGAGTACACCTAATTCTAAGATATATTAGCTAATTGTGATTATCGTCTTGGGACCATGATTAAACTCATTTATAAACTTCAAAATTATAAAAATGTAGTGAAACTTAGAGCCACCTTATGGTAAATTTAAAATGCCTTAAATTCAAAATGCCTTAAAATTACCAAGATACAATTATAGGTTGTGTGATGCATTATTTACTATTGCTTATGCTAGCAAAAAGAATTCTTGTTACAATGACAAAATATCTGTTATATTTGGAAAATTAACATGTACTTTTAATTGCTGTATAAAAACTAAAAATCTTTTTTGTGGTGGATTGGTTTCCAGCAGACTTATTTCAGTTTAAAACTTTGAACTTTATATATTTTGCATACCTCTTGATGGTTCTGTGGACCATTGTCCTCATGGGCTGGTTGATAGCTTGATCAGTTCAGTGTTTTGTTCCCACTCAGTATGTAGGTGCATCGAATTTTTTTAATAAACTTTATTCACAATGCTGTATAATTATTATGAGATATATAGCTGGTGGGAAATATTCCGTATCGTTAAAGCTTTCTTACTGCAGGAATTTTCTTTCCAAGGAAAGGTGATACGTAACTCGTTTTCGGTCATTTTAAGGCCTTCAAGGGAAACAGGTTCTTGGGGTAACACCTGAGACAGTTGTGAAGTTCCACAGTCTGGTTTGGCTATTTTTAAAGTGAAGCAGTCACAAATTGTAATTATCAAAAATACATGAAAAGACTGCTGACTGCTCTTGAGCAAGTACATACATGAGAGTAGAAGAGGAAAAAACAAGAATGTTGTAAGTGTACAAGGGAAATAAGAAATAGATAAACGTGGTTTTTGAAAGGGGAGCATATGGGGTTCTGAAAGCAATGCATGCCAAAGCGACACCAGAGTTGTAAAGTAGTCAAAGATAAGAACTATCACTGGGGGCAGAGAGGCACATTTACCAGTTGACCCTACTAGGCCAACTGGTCAACCTGGAAGGTCATTTACTGTGCAAAAGGACTCTAAATGGCATAAGACCATTAGTTCCAAATATAGCAGCATGTAAAAAACTTAATAGGTTTTTAACATGTATGGCATTACTCGCACTTCAGGTAGACTACTACATGTTCCATGTTCTTCCTTTGGATAATGTTAGCTTTTTTAAGAATTCAGATTTTCACTTGCAGCAAATCCTGAAGTTCTTCGTCTTCTTCAATTATATGTTGAGTTCATGGATGCTGTATTTTTTCTTTGAAAGGTACCATCAACATAGAAACCAAATCAACTGATTAACTGATCCTTTTTAGCTTCACACAAACCTCAAACTGTTATTCTGATGCAGAAAGGAGAACATTTTCATTAAGTAACTGTAACATCAGATAGCAGTTTTCAGGAACTAAGTTCATATGTAACTAAGCAGTTTGACATTTTAGTGATGGCAAAATGCAATGGAATAGTTTTTAAAGTGCTGTCATTGCATTGTCTGGGTTTTACAGATGACCATCATTCTTTATTTTCGGTCTAAAAGGCATTTTTTTTTTTTCTGTGAGAAATATTTAATGTTTGATGGAGCCATGAAGTGGCTCCAATATGAAGACTATTCCACTTTGTGCAGCTTGAGGAGAAAGTTCTGCATATATTGTACTTGAAGAAGGAACATCTGAAAAATGTAGAAAATGTGAGTATGATGCCATTTTATTCTCCAAACATTGCAGTGCAAATGTCAATATAGTATATTAATGTGGTTACTATAAGATGTTGAGTGAATAAATAAATATGAATGTATTGGGGGGATTAAGACATACCTAAAGCAGGCTGGGATATCGTGTTGGAGTGGTTAGTGTGTTTGTTTAGTAAATGCATGGAAGAAGGGAAGGTACCATAGGATTATCAGAGAGTAGGCATAGTTCCCTTGTATATGGATAAGAGAAAGAGAGAATGTAAAAATTGTAGATTGTTGGAAGGGTTGTTAGAGTTGATTTGGACATAGGAGGGAATAAAATAGGACAACTAGAATGGGTATACATCTGGGATGGAGAGAAGGACGGGTAGGAGCCATTCCAGGAGAGGTTGGAGGAAAGAGGCAAAGAAGGTATATGGGAAAATTGGTTAGCCAGACTTGATAAAGTTCTGAAAATGGGAAGTACAGTGCCTGTATTCTGAGAAGGATGAGGATGTTGCAGCTCGGAAAGCCTTGATTAATACCTCCCATTTTCCCAGGTACTGTATAGCTCCTATGGGTTTAGTGCTTCCCATGAACATCATAATATTTGCATTAAACACGAAAAATAAATTACCATACTAAAATATAGACAGCGAGAATATTCACTCCATAGTACCTTTTTATATTTATTTATTTTCCCTGGTGACTATTAGCACTGTAACAGACATTTTCATCATTATTTAGGGAATTGGACAGTGTACGTAGTATGTATTAGTTGCATGCCCAAAATGTACTAGGTTTTTTACCACAATTTATTTTGAAGAATTTAGAAACTCAGTAACTGTTGTTTAACTTAAAATTAAATCAAACATATTAAATAATGCAGTAGCACTGATACACCTAGGAACTTTTCAGCAAAATTGGTTAACTTTTTTTAATTAATGTAGCTTTTTTAACACCTTATGAAGAACATACACAGCATAACTGAAATGCAGAAGTATTGCAGGAATTGTTACATATTTGCACACTAGCCAACCTTGTCTTTACCTAGAAGCTAGATTTATTTTTTTGGACAGTTGTACATGTATGTACAGTACTGGATATTATGAAATGCTCTAGTCAGATCATCCTATTTTCATTCAGATGTAGAAAGAAAGATGTCAAACACATAATGGGGGAAAATGGCATGGTAAATGCAGGTTATAAAACTAGCTGTTAGGAAGGCTAATGTACAGTATACTATTAATGTTGTTTTTTTTTTTTTTTTTTTTTTTTTTTTTCTCTCTCTCCCCGCACTACAAGAGTCCAGCTTGGGCCAGGCTTGTCTGGTGTGCTCCCTCAGTATCTTTGAGCTTGATATTGGCAAATTTGTCATTCCACAATTTATAGTTCATGTGCTCTTTCTTATCCTCAGCCAGGTTCATGGATCCGTGATTCCTATATGGTATGTTAGCTGAAAGCTTGGTTCTTGACTCAGACACACACAGTATTTATGATATTCAAACCTTAGTTCCTGTAATAGCAACATGTATCTGTTAGTATTATCTGAGAGCTTGGTTTTTTTTGTATGATATGCTAGATTATTCACTTGTTTTAAACCTGACCCATAATGATGCAGAAATGTTAGGCTAATTACTAATAGGTCCGGAATACATTTCTTTTTTTTTTCCCATTAAAATGTATGTTCTGTTTCCCTAGCTCACCATCCATGAGCCTTTCACAGAATGCATTTCTTTCAGATACAGAAGAGGCTCAAGAATGAACAGTATCTCTTTAGTATAGGGTAGACTATGGCTTCCTTTAATCAGTGTCTTTTTCCCAGTTATAGAGAACTGTATCCACCATCTCATTTTGTATGTAACTAATTACTGTACCTTTACCTATGCTCATATTTGGTGAATAATTGGTAAGAAATAACTTAAGTATTTCAGATTTGTTTTCTAACTTAATTTGCTTAACCTCAGCCAATTTCCAAATTTATTTGAATTAGTTTTCATGTTTCTTATCAGTGTTGTACAAAAGAGATATTGTGTGATGAAATGCAGTAAACTCAAATAAAATAATTTTAATTGCAGTTGAAAAGTACCTTTTCTGCATAGCACTTGAAAAAGCCTTTATAGTGTGCTTTGTAAGTATGGAAGCATCTATAAGCAAAACCTTAGTATGCCATGCCATGGATTTTTTTACCTTCTGATTCATGTTGGAAGAATCTACCACCCGTTCAGTTAGAGATAGTGAGAACATAAAAGAGCTTGTGCAGTGAGTAATGCCACTATATGAAAAGAAAGTCAGAGGTCAGTAGTGCAGAGTAAAACAAACTAGAGATATTACAGAATTCTACTAACTGAAAATCTAATGGTTATAATTATATCTATAATTTTTAAAGGGGTGGACAGGTAAGCCAGCAGAAGGCCTTGGTCAGATGACCAAAAGCTCCAACTGCAGGTCATAATATGACTAAAATCCATGTCAGAAAATGCTTGTCCTGTTTGCTGATAAACCTTTTCTAACCTACATGTAGAATACTTGTCAACCTCAGTACAAACATCAGCTATTGATGGCTCTGCATCCACATCAACACAAGAACCAGAGTCACCTACCTCAAGCCAGTGGGGCAATATCAACCCTCTCCACACTTGGCAGTGTAACAGGCAACAACAACTAGAATGTAAGGCAAGATAAGCTGTAGTAATTTGTATCTAGTAGAATATTTAGAAATGTTATTTGGCAAATCTGGAGGTCTTTGTTATATAACCTGGTTTTTCCATGTGTCTTCACTCCAAATAGAGCTATTTTCCATAAGGTGACAATTTTCAGGAAAGTATCTGCCACATTAAGAGAGGGTTAACCCTACTGTATGTGCAGTACTTCTCAAAAAAGATGTGAATATTTCACTAGTGTAATAAGTGTTCTTCACATTAACAATTAATTAGTATAATAATGTAGTATATTGTTAATTTAAAGGTGCCATATTAAACATAGGAAAAAAATAGTGTATTTAAATAATAGTATATCACATAATAGATTATAGATTAGGTATCCATGGAAGGTGGGTACCTTTAATTGGTTACCTGAAGTTTTTTCTTCCTCCAAGGTTCATGTTGGTAACTTGATACCACCTTATCCAGTCAGCTTCAAATTGTCAGTGCTGGTGTATATTATATTATATATCAAATTGACCTCTGGTCAACTTGATATAAGCCATTCCTAGATAAGTTTCTGTGCAATAACCTGAGAATGTCTCTTCTGATGGGCTTCAGGCATTCGTCACTGATACATCGTATCAAGAAGGTTGGGATTGTTATTTGAGTGTGTAGATGCCCATTCTATTTTTAAAATGATGTGTGGTAGTATTTTTTTTTCCGTGACATAGCCTTAGTATGCTTTTTCTGAATGGCTTCAGTCTCAAATGGCTGATTCATCTTACGGCCAGGATAGTACCTAATAAGTTTAAGCTTGTTTAGATGCAAATTTACCAATTTCTTAACATATTCAATAAACTTGATATTGTTGGATTCTGGGCAGTAACTGGAGATTACTACTGTTGATTGACTTAAAACTTTGTGATAGTGAACTTAGCTCAAAGGAAGGTTCATGGTGATTTTTGGCTGTGTGTTTCAATTTGCCAATTTTGTTAAACAAAAGGTTTCCATGTAACAATCAGAAAATGCTTCTTCTGGTTTGCCATTTATATTAACAAAATCACGAAAAGTGTAATTATAGTGTTTGTGCAATAATTTGTGAATGCATAATGCGATCACCTTCAAGCCTTCACTAGTGATCTGTCTTGTTTAGAGGAAGCTTTGGATTGTTATGGGAATGTGTAGGTGCCAATTTACAAAATTTGACTTCAGTCTCTCGGCTGTCCTTGTTTGGCCACTCATAGCAGTTATGCAAATTCCAGTTTCTTAAAAGCTAAAAATAGAAATTCTTATAGGATTGTAGAGAATTTGAAATAGAGTATAACCGAGAAATATTGAAAACTTGCATTTTTAAGTTTCAAGAGTTTAGGGAGTCCATAAATATATTTTTGTACTGATTAATTCCAGCACATATGCTCAGGTACAGTGCTCTTTCTTCCTCCAAGATATTCATTTGTAACTCAAAAATCCTTGTCCAATTGGCTTAAATTTTCAATGCTAGTTACCTATAATTAGGGGAAAGGTTTATGGAACTTTTGGCTTCTGCAGGTGACCTCCCAAGTTTGGTTTCTGTAAAATAACTTAAGCACATAAGCAAACATGCCTGTTCTTATTTGCTTCAAACTTTTAACACTGGTGTATCTTGCTTAGATGAAGGCTGGCACTCTTAATGGTGTTCATAAGTGCCAGTGTGCAATTTTTGTTTTTATAGTAGTATGTATTTTTTTGTAGAAAAGATGCTGCTTCTGAATGGCCTCGATCTTTATTGGCTTACACATCTTAGGAAAAGCATGATGTCTTTTAGGTTTAGGCTCTGCAGATGCAAACTGTCCTAATTTACAAACCTTGCTTATAAACTTTGAATTGTAGGATTCAGCGTAAAAACTGGAGAATGCATCTTATGGTTAGCATCTTATTTCTAGTGTTCGTCATTTTTTTCTTTACTGAGGCTTTTCCTTGATTTTGGGTAGCATAGGTTTTAATTTGCCAATTTTATTAAACCATTTGGTTTTTGTGTAATGGAGAATGCCATCCTCTGATCAGCTGGTATACCTTACTGAAAGAAAGGCTTCAATTGATTTTGGGTTGTGTGTGCTAATTTGCTAATTTTTTCAAAGAAATCGGGAAAATTTAAATACTGGTTTTCTTGCTATAATTTACGAAGGCCTCATCCTATCAGCTTCAGACCTTCAACACCAAAAGCTTAAGCATGCAACTTTCGACAAACTTCAAAATTATAAGTGCTGATGTATTTTGGGACATTGGTGTGTGTGTGTGTGTGTGTGTGTGTGTGTGCAATAAATACAGAATGCCACTCCTGATTGGCTCAAAACTTGCAATGCTGATGTATCTTAGTGGAAGGTTCAGATTGGTTTTGGACTGTGTAGGTGCAATTACCATTTTAATTGGCAGTGAGATAAGTGCTCATGACAGTGTAGGAGGGCCCCACTGATACAGCAGGCTAGATTCCAGGCTCTTGCAATAAAGTGAAACACAGCCCTTTTTTCACTTTCAAATGCATATAAAAACCTTATAACATGTTTACACTAAGTGGGCAATAGAGCTAAGCCTAAAAAAATGCATAAACAGTACACATTACTTACCTTTAAAATATTTTTATCCTTAGATTATAGCGAGTGGTAAATATATTTATTGTAAGAAGTCTGAATAAATAATGGTTATAATGAAAACTGCTGATTAGCAATATACTTTAAAGCGAAGCACTGTAAAGTGGGGCCCACCTGTATAAACTGAATTTCTCTTCTGGTTGACTTCAGATATTCAGTGCTGATATTTAACTAAATTAAAAACTAATGCTGCACTCTGTACAATTCGTTTTACATGCTTTAAGGTAAAGGGGGCCGAGTTTATGAGATATGGGATACCTTTCTCAGATCGAGCAGTGACTGAAACATATTTACTTAGATTTGATGCCTTCTTAGGTATAACACCTTTCAAATAAATTATTGGTGCTGTCCAAAATTTAAGAAATTGTTTAATATCTATGAGTTCAAAATAACGTTAGAATGCCTGCATGCAAAGCTTGTCATCTTTATATCAAATTCCAGACCCATGCTCGACTCCCTCCTTGCTCTTGTTCTTGCAGGAGTGCATTACTAACCACAACTTACACTTAAAGCCCTTGGGAATATATTTTTAAGCACAATTCTCACTCGGACCCAATTAAGCTTGATTCCTTCCTCCTGTTACTGTTTTCTCCGACAGAGCTCCTTCTCGTATCTCCTCGCTTGATTTCTTTCTTGCTACTGTTCTCTCAGGAGAGTATTACAGTGCCACAACTTGTGCTGTGTGTCCCATGAATACGTCACCCTCATGCTTTTCTTACACAAATACACGTTGCCCCATTTTAAGTCCAACCACAGCTACATATTTTTCTGTAGTAAATACTTTAAACTGTATACAGCTACAACAAATAACAGTTCACTTTAGTAGCTAAGTGTTATACAGAAATAGATGGGACTTAGATGTATCAAGCAAAATATTTTTAAAAAAAATTTCTTAAATTGTCGAGTTAGTGTATGATAAATGTGGTTTGCTTGAATGTTTATGTAGTATTTTGTACATTTTCATTTATGTAAATTTTAAAATTATTGCTGTTTATTAAATGTTATATCTGTTATAAAGATGTGTATGTATAAATGTGAGTGATGGTATTTGTATTTAACATGAAACATAAATGCTGTATATATAAATAGTTTAAAAATATATGTTTACTGTGGACACTACAGTGCCAATGACAACAATGTTAGTAATGTTATCTTTTATGTATGGATTATGTGATAAGTAGGAATGGAGAAAAAATATTTCAATTTTTTATTCTCATTTTATTCTCCTCTTTAATTTATACTGTATTGCCTTTTCTAAGTCTTTATCTTCAGGCCCCAGGTGAAGACCAGTTAATAATTATCACAGGTTACCACATCTGCCTTTCATAGTGCGCTCTATATTTACGAGAAGTTAACAAATTGTATTTTACAGTTACAGTGGATCAAAGGATTATTGTAGGTTATCACTAAGTAAAGTACTATACACTACTAGCATAGGATTATCACTCATATGAGTTTAGCGCTTTTTTGTGAATGTAAGTCAGCACGCATTGTTGTGAAGATGCACAAAATTTCTCTGCTTGACCTTGTAATGAATATGTTAGACAAGATTTTAAGGGATAGTCCACCATTTCAAGTTCAGTAGTAAAATGCTATTATTTGTACATAGCACTCTACTCATAACCAGTGCAACACTAATATTAATACCACATTCCCTTGTGAGTTTATAATTTAAGTTGGGATTATTTCCCATTTTATGTAATTTTGGTGCTATAATTGTTTAGTAAGAAAAAATAATGTGGGGGGAAAATGGTGGGTGGTGCATTGAGGCATCTGTGGAGACAAAGAACATCCATGGAGGCAAAAAGGGGAATGTATGAGAGTATAATTGTGCCAACACTCAAATGGGTGTGAAGCACGGGTTGTGAATGTTGGAGCAAGGAGGATGCTGGAGGCAGTGGTGGTGATGTTTGAAGGTAATATGCAGTGTAAATATTATACAGGGAATTCAGATCTTAGAGATTAGGTAGTGTGAGGTTACTAAAAGTATTATCCAGAGGGCTAAGGAGGGGCTGTTGAAGTGGTTTGGTCATTTAGAGAGGATGGAACAATATAGGATGACGTGGAGAGTGTATGAATCTGTAGTGGAGGGAAGGTAAGGTAGGGGTCATCCTAGGAAAGGATGGAGGGAAGGTGTAAAGGAGGTTTTGTGTTAAAGGGGATTAGACATACAGTAGGTATGTATGAACATGTTAAATAGTGAAGGGTTTCTAGGAAACCAGTTAGCTGGACTCGAGTCCTGGAGGTGGGAAGTATAGTGCCTACACTCTAAAGAAGGGGTTTGGGATATTTACAGTTTGGAGGGACATCTGAACTGCTGTATCTGCACGCCTCTGGCAAGACAGTGACAGTGTGAATGATGGTGAAAGTTTCTTTTTTTGGGTCGTCTTTCCTTGGGAGATGGCTGTCTCCCACCAAGGCAGGGTGACCCAAAAAAAGAAACTTTCACTATCACTCACACTATCACTGTCTTGCCAGAGAATTGCAGATACGACAGTTCAGATGTCCATCCAAACCACAAATATCCCAAACCCCTAATTTAGAGTGCAGGCACTGTACTTCCCACCTCCAGGACTCAAGTCCAGCTAACTGGTTTCCTAGAAGCCCTTTACAAAATATTACTCTGCTCACATCTCAACAGCTCGTCAAGTCCCAAAAATCATTCGTCTCCACTCCTGTCTAACATGCTTGCATGTGCCTGTTAGATGTCCAAACTCCTTGCACACTCCCTCCATCATTTCCTAGGATGACCCCTAAACTATCTTCCCTCCACTACAGATTTATACACTCTCCAAGTCATCTTATTTTGTTCCATCCTCTCTAAATGACCAAACCATTTTAACAACCCATCCTCAGCCCTCTAGATAATACTTTTAGTTACTCTGCATCCCCTCCAAATCTCCAAACTACAAATTCTTTGCGTACTATTTACATTTTCTTGGTAATCTTTCATCTTACATTTAGAAATTAGTAATTATATTTACTTTCCTATACAACCTTTGGAATATGTGGTGCTCATTTGTGATAGGTTACTTATGGTACTGCCAGTTTACTTACAGTACTGCCAGTTGAAGTATTACCAGAGAGAAGTGTGATGAACCTCAGTGTGAAATCAAAGATGATTTTATTACTGAATTGCTGGTAATGACAGACATGTAATATTAAGCAGAAATGTGCATTTAATTTTTTTCTAAATAATATAGTGTAGAAAGTAAAAATATAAAAACATTTAATAATAGACAAGATAAAAGCAATGGTCCACTGTTTTGCGAAGTTTGTTGGGAACTGAAGTAATGTTTGATATTCATATTTTTTACACTTGTGTACTTTTTATTTTAGATAATGGTTTACAGTAGAAAGTCCTTTTTTTATGGGATTGTGCCACAGTAAATCAAAATGGAAAATTAGAGAAAATTTAATGTAGTATGTAATGATTTCTCTATAACAACCTGAAGTAGTTGGATGTTAATAAGTGTATAGGAATACAATAGTTACAAGTGTCTTCATGTCTTAAGTTAGAACTATTAGGTAAAGCACATTTGTGTGTTTGTATGTATGTGTTTTATATATATATATATATATATTATATATTATATATATATATATATATATATATATATATATATATATATATATATATATATATATATATATAAAGAATGCACATGATAATTTTGGTGCTAGTTCTACTTTTAAATATAATTTACTTGTTTGACATCATCGCAATTTAACAGAAAATTATAATGAGTAACAATGTTCACAAATAACTTCATTCCAATAATGTTTTTCTCTTCATTAAAATGAAGGAATTTGTGCTTTTTTTGTTTCAATATACCTTTTTATTTTTTTATTTTCAACATTGAAAAGACAAAAAAGAATGTCAGATTTTATGCATAACTAAAGAAATCATAAAACATTTTTATGCTAATGACCAAAGAAATGCAGGTAATACTAGAAATAGTTCATTGGTACTTTAGTATTTTGCTTTAGCCACCCCTTGATGCCAGTGAGTTATTCTTGTTCCAATTAACTGAACTTGTGCTCCCTCTCCTTGGGTGGAACTTGAATGGCTTCCCATTCCCCAGGCATTATGTGACCCCTATAGGTTTAATGCTTCCCCCTAATTAGAATAAAAACTTGCTTTTGCTGTCATGTATTTTGCAGTTATCTCTTGATAACTTTTGCAACAACGGTGGTCAGAGTTGGTGTACAATAAATTGTATTCTGTCAAACCATGTTTGGGTTTCTGAGCATCTTAAAATTAGTGTCGTGTTTTGGAGATTTCACTCCCGCCTACTTATAGGACATATCTCACTCTCGGGTATCTTGTGGAAAAATGCTTGACACTGCTTTCTGAGGATTACCAGGTTACAATGTCAGTAAACCATCTCTTAATAAATTGTCCTGTCTATCAGCAGGAGCACAGACTTTCCTCCCTCTAATCAAAATTTGCTAATCTACTCCAAAAGCAAGGCGAGTTGCTCTTGTGAAGACGAGCAAGATTTCATCTCTAGTCATATTGGCAAGATATTCTTTTCATAAAAACTTGCATCTGTGTAACAGCTGTGGCCCATACTAACCTTTCTAGTGTATAAATATACCTAGCTGAAAGAATATTATTTTAGCCTTCATGTTTCAGTGGCTTGGCAGTTTGAGTTCATACCCCAACCCTCTTTCAGCCATGGAGGCATTAAGTACAGTGCCTGAATTCTGAAGGATTATTAAACCTGTAGGGATATACAGCACCTGGAGAATGAGAGACAATCAGGTTTGATCTAAGAAAGGTGAGGATAAATTAAATTACCTGGATCAAGAGCCCTCCCCCTCACTGGCATCAAAGCACCTTGAGGGACACTGGTAAGGGTGTGGGTGTTATGGTTTTGGAGGGGTATTTGAATCGTGTTGTTTGAAGTGGTGTGGTGCATACGGATTTAGAGCTTTTATAATAGTTGTGATGCCCTTCCGGCAAGGCACCTGTTCAGTGAATAATTGTGAATGTGATAAGTTTTTTTTGTTTATCCTCTTATGGTGGGAGACATTTTTACACAATATACTTGCGTTGAGTGAGTGCGTGGAGAGTTTTAAACCAAGTGAGAGAGTACTTGTAGTTGGGGATCTTAATGCTAAAGTGGGTAAAAATGTTGTGGAGGGAGTAGTGAGTAAATTTGGGGTGCCAGGGGTAAATGAAAATGGGGAGCCTTAAATTGAACTACAGTGGACCCTCCCTTTTCATCAATCTCCATTATCGGCGATTTATGTTTTTGCCGACTTTTTTCGTCAAAATATTGGTTCCGTTTTTGTCGATGGTACAGAACCTGTCCAGTGCCCAGCATGCAGACAAAGCTGCCTCCCACACACATTCTCAGGCAGTGTCGCGTTGTTTCTCGGTGAGTGAACATATCCTTCGAGGTCATACAAAACATTTTGTAATGATCCATTTTTTTTTGGCACTTGTTTATTGTGTGTGACTGCTAAATAAGCCACCATGGCCCCAAAGAAAGCTCCTAGTGCCAGTTCTTTGGTAAAGAAAGGAACGCCATAGAAATGAAAAAAGAAATTAAAAAATATGATAGTGGTATATACATTGCCGAACTCTGCAGGATGTATGAGAAGGCGCCATCAACCATCAGCTCCATTGTGGTGAAGAGAAAAGAAGTCATGGAAGCTGATGTTGCAAAAGGGGTGAATGCAATAACGAAACAGAGATCCCAAACAATTGAAGATGTGGAGAAATTGTTGTTGGTATGGGTCACAAAGGAACAGTGGGAGATAGTGTTGTGCAGTCGATACTTTGTGTAAAAGGCAAGGCAGTTGCATGACGATCTCAAAGAAAATGCCTGCAACAAGTTCTGATAGTGAATTTAAGGCCAGCAAAGCCTGGTTCGAAAAATTCAAGAAGCAAAGTGGCGTACAGTGTTGTAAGGCATGGTGAGGGTGCCAGTTCAAACAAACATGTGGCTGAAAAATTCATGTGGGAATTCAAAGACTGTAAAGGCTGAAAAATTCCAACCCCCAACAAGTGTTCAATTGTGACAAAACAGGCCTGTTTTGGAAGAAAATACCAAAGAGGACCTACATCACACAGGAGAGGAAAAGGAACTCCCAGAACACAAGCCTATGAAAGACAGGCTAACACTCTTGTTGTGTGGTAATGCTGGTGGGGATTTCAAAGTGAAGCCTTTACTGGTGTATCACTGAAAATTCCAGC